GGGGTCCTGCATGCCTCCATGTTCTCCCTGGCCCACCGAAACAGAAATTTGCAAAATTCTTGAGCTTTCCTAGTGAGTAATATCTATTATATCATGCCCACTTGCTTGCTGGGAGCACTCTCCCCGGTCAGGAGAGATGGCCCCAGACAGTACAGCAGGATCCCGCCCAGCCTCCTGGATTCTGACACCTTTCCTACAGCAGATGTTCTCCTGCATCCCTTCACTGCAGCAAGCTGAGCTGGGAGGACAGCAACTTCTCTAGCAGTAAGAGACCCCTTAACCATTTGTGACATTTCAGGATCCTGGGAATCTACACCAACATCTGTCCCCCACCCCTCCAAAAATATTGTGCTGAATCCCACAAGTCATTCACACTTCCTCACAGGAACCACAGAGTACTGACTTCTGTCTGCGGTTTGTCCCCATCCCCGCAGAGGATGGGCGGGCCTTTAAGTGTGATCTATGCCCAATCACTGGACACCAGCACAAGGCCCTCTCTTCTTACTTTGTCCCGATGCTTCCCCCTCTCATTCTCCCTTTCATTCTCTCCTCTGTCTCTTCATCACCTCCTGACCTACTTCACCCGCCAATTTTTTCTGTTTTGGAGAAAAGATCTCAATAAGCAGTCAAGGCCATACAGCCCAGGCTGGTCTTGAACTTGCCATCTTCTTGCCTCAGCCTCCCTTGTGCTATACCGCAGGCCTGTGCCACTACTGTTGGCTCAGTAAACTCTTCTTACAACATTAAAGTTGTTCATAGAGGAGGTCTGGGGCAGAGGGGAAAGACTGTAGCCTGTTGTCTTAAGACAGAGTGGAGACAAGGATGGAGGTAGAACCTGCAATCTGAGTGGCAGCCACAGACTGGGTTTATTGGACATCAATCAGCACAAGCTGGGGAGAAGGATGGAGCTCTTGTCCTTGCTAGCGCACGACTGCACAGAGCTCGTAGGGGGTTGGGGTAACTGGCAATGCGAAAATGCCATGGTCGCTGGGCCGGGGCTGTCCACTGGGCACCGAGAAGCTAAAGCGCTGCAGGAGACAAGTGAAGAAAAGGAAGAGCTCCATGCGGGCCAGGGGCTCACCCAGGCAAGCTCTGCGACCTGTAGGTGGGAAAGGGGCTCAGTCAGTCTGGGCCTGATGGATGCTCTGCCCTCCAAGACACCCTGGAAAGAAACATGAAGCCAAGCATCCCACAGACACCTGCTGAGAATGGCATGAAGGCCTCATGCTTCACAAAGCGGCCTTGGGCATCCAGGAAGTGCTCAGGATGGAAGCGGAGGGGCTTCTCCCAGACAGTCTCATCCTTCAGCACTGAGGACAGGTTGGTGAGGAGGGTCGTCCCCTGGCAGGAGGCACATGGTGTGAACATTGACTGTGGTGGGGCTGCCAGTACCCTGGTTACCGTGGTCACATGCACAACCTCTTCCTGCACACACAGGGTTCTTTCATTCACCTCAACCTCAGATCCCCTTGGTACCATTTTCTGGTACCATTCAAGGCCATACGACAAAGCTACCCTAAGTACCCAAATCAGAGGCTGCACTGTGTGCAGTGCTCCCTGCAATCCTGTGGCTTATTCCACTAGCCATCCTCTTCCCTGGGGAGCCCTGGGCAATGGCTGCAGTGTACTCACACCCAGGCTGGGCCCTTCACCATCTGCAAATTCAGGATGTGGAAGACTTGGTCTTTATAGCCTCTGTTTGACCAGTGGTGACCCAGGGACAACAGTGACCGTGCCTACCTTGGGGATGAGGAAGCCCTGTACTTCAATGTCACGGGATGTCATGTGTGGTAAATTCACTGGGACGATGTCACTAAATCGCTGCACCTCATGAATGACAGCATTGGTGTAGGGCATGCGAGCCTGGTCTGCCATTTCTGGACGCCGCACCTGCCCTATGACTTCATCAATCTCTTGTTGGACGCGGCCTGGAGGAACAGCCTCCCCTCAGTGAAGCAGTCCCTTAGTGGCTCTAACTTGACCTTCTACCACTGGGTGAGTAGGTGGTTTAAGACTCCCATCAGAATTGTGGGAGTCTGGGTCAAGGTGATGCTGGAGCCCCAGATGCTTCTCAAATACTTCTATCTTTCTTCCCTCACACTCCCTCCCAGGCTCAGCCAGGCTTACCCTGCACATCCGGGTGTAGGATCATGAGCAGCAGGGCCCAGGACAGTGTGGTTGAGGTGGTCACCATCCCTGCAATGAACAGGTCAGTTACTACTGCGCGCAGGTTCCCATCGTTGAAGCTGCTCTCAGGATTCCCCTTGGCCTGGGCAGACAGAGAAGGTAGGCACAGGGACAAAGGGAGTAAACCCCAAAATGATCCACCATTGTGTTCATATACCCCAGATGTTGGGTTCATGGATGACATACAAACTCCACTTCCCTGGCTTCACAACTCACAGAACACTTCACCCCAAAGGCCCTCTCCCCATCTTTATTGCTGTCCTCACCTTCTCCATCTCAGCCAGGAAGGCATGTGTCAGGTCTTGGGGTGGCTGGGCAGGGTCCCAGGTTCCCTTGTGCTCAAGCAACAACTTATCCAGTGAATTTGTCAATTCCGTCAATTTGGGGAAGGCTTTACCAGGGAGCCCAGGGATGTGCATGAGCACCGGGAATGTGTTTACCAGCTGTCAAAACAACAGGTCAAGTGGTTTTTATTCCAAATTAAGAGGCATGTGTGTATGTGTGTGTGTGTGTGTGTGTGTGTGTGTGTGTGTGTGTGTGTGTCTACATGTGCACTCTCACAGCTACATGTGCACAATGACTACTGTTTGGAGGTCAAAGGACAACTTGTAGAGTAGGATCGCTCTCCCATGTGAGTCCCAGGGATACTGCTCAGAACTCCAGGCTTCCTTACTAAGTTCCTTTACCCACAGACAATGGTCTTGAGCCTGGATGCTACTTCTGCTCAGTGTTCACCTGGAGTAGACTCAGTTCCCAGCCCCTTTTCTTTTTAGTTCCCAGCCTCTTCCACAAAGGACTCAGGGTCTGTTTGTCCCCAAACATCACTTGTTGCATCCTCAGGTCCTACCTGTAGATTGTCTTGAGCCCAGGGTGAACAAAATGCCTTACTACTCTGCACATCTAACAGTCTTACATGGTTTCCATGTAGACAGGGGCAGAGCCTCACCCCCTTTCTAGAGCCCCTGACCTTGGTCCACTCTTCCCCTCTGTTATCTGAGATTTGCCAAGGGCATGGGCTTTCCTCCTGCATTTGACTATCACACAAGGCCCTTACCCGATTCCCCCGGAATGAATATTCATCCTAATTTTATAGCACAGAAGTGGCCATGCACACTGACTGCCCTGAGCCTCATACCTCAGCAATGAAGCCAGTGTCCTCTCCAAAACTTTCCTGTAAGGTTTTGAGCAACCTACTGAAGAAAGGGTCTTCATACTCAAAGCGCTGGGCATAAATGAGAGATGAAATCACATTGCATGTACCTTTGTTCAGGAGGGTGGTGGGATTAAATGGTTGCCCTAGAAGCAGATGCAAACAAGTCATGATGTTGTTCGTCACTGCGTGCCCATATGGCTACCATATTCCCATCACCCACCAGACTCCTTGGTGAAGGCGTCACAGAGGTGTCCAGCCTCCTCCGTCACCCACTGCTCCAGGGATTTCTTGCCCAGGCCGAAGTCTCGCATGGTGGACACAGAGAATCGCCGCTGTTCTCGCCATTCGTGACCATAAGGTGCTAACGCCACACCTGCAGGGACATCTGTGTGTAACCAAGGATACATGGCTGTGCTGTCTGCTCTGCTCCCAACATTTCCCTGAGGTCAGTCTGAGCCATCAGCGCCCCAGCACTTTGCTATCACAATCAGCACAGGCCACTTTAAAGGCTCCACCCTCCACTGCAGTGACTTTCCATTGAAAGACATTGCCTGAACACAGCCCCTCCATTAACCCTGTCCATCTTCTGGTCACTGCTCCTCAAGCCCTATTCTCTCTGCCCATGTCCCACTGTATAACTCTTTGCCTTTTGTTTTGGGCCCATAGCCCATGACAGCATAGATGGGCATTGGAGGGCGGTCAGCAGTGTCCTCTCCACAGGTCACCAGCACTTCCCGCACCGCCTTCAGTCCATTGATAACGACCACGGGCTTCCAGGCCATCTGCAGGCTGAACAGGTCCCCATAGCGTTGACGAAGCTGAAGTAGAGGGACAAAATGCTTAGAAAATGGAAATCCCTAGCAATCTGGACAATATAAGCACAACACATAACACGTGTATCTCTGTGTGTGTGATGTGTGCAGTTACACATAAGCACATTTTATGGTATGCATTCTGTAGCTTGGTCCTGCCCTATGCTGGGCAAATGCCCTATCACTGACCACATCTCTAGACTGAGGTATGACACCTTATGCCTGCATGACTCTGTCTTCTAAATCCAGCAATGTTCTTGTAGTAGATGTGATCATTAAACTGTTACATTGCGACAAAAATGTTGGTTCTCCTTCATATCCTGCCATACATGATGGAATTCAGGTGCTTGAGATGGACAGCAAGGCCTGACACCATACAGCAGTAAGAGATTATAGCAGATGCAGCCCATCCTCACTACATGCTACAATGAATCCAGATCCTCCCCTCTGCCCTGAGACCTCAGCCACTGATGGGATCACAAGAAAACTGGGTGACTCTGACCTCTGTCTTGTCCAACCACAGTCCACGCCTGTCTCCATGACCTTTTCCATACTGAGCTCCTGCTCTTAGAAGTCCACAGAGAGCGAAGAACCTGAAGCAAGTGCCACAAGGCAACCACTAAGCCTCTTCCACTTGGTGGCCATCTTCCTGTCTGTCCTGTGGCTTCAGCACCACCATGTACTGCTGGGGCACCATGACCTCTACTGCCCTCCACTGCCATCTCCCTCACCTTGTGTAAACTATACGGCATGTTCTCGAAGTCCACCTGCAGGAGGTTGCCCAGCCCAGGTAGGGGCACAGGACCTGGAGGGTAGCGGGCAGTCCAGAACTTGCGTCGGTGCATCAGGTCCACCAGGAGCAGGAAGATGGCTGTGAATAGGACCATGGACCACAGGCCATCTCCAGTCAGCAGTGCCATGACTGCCCCTGCTTCCCAGCCTGGTTGGGGAAACGCCTGCTCCAGACACCTAGGATCAGGAAAGACACTCTGAGGACAGGCTGGGCACCTGGTCCCTTATGAAGGGGAGAAGGCTGCACTTTGTTCTCTACCCGGAGCCAAGTACCTGTGTTTACTGTTCAGTCAGGTTGTGTAACAAAACGTCAGGAAAGTCCAGGGCACGTCAGGCTCAGAGGTCAATGCCCTGTCTTCTCTCGATGGATACTTATCCATGGGACCTGCTTCAGCTTCTCCTCGGGGAACTGAACAGAGTGGCTATGTATGGCTGGGCACTGTGAGCACAGTGGGCAGAGGACCAGTGGACCCTGCCTGAAGGTGCAGCATCACAAGGTATAGCAAAGTCAGTCAGTGATGTGCCACACTGGAAAGGCTCTGGGGACCTGAGGCCATTGTCTCAGAATGAATGTGGACATGTTTGAAGTTCCATTGAACACTCAACTTATAGGACAGGAGGTGTGACTGACTCTGCAGGCACCATCACAGTGTAGCAAGGGTTACTGAAGTGGCTTGTGTGGCTAGACAAGGAGGGTGAGAGAGAGGCAGTGTGGAGAAGGCAGCCACAGCCTGGGGAGCCATGACTACAGGTGTGAGGTCACTCAACACATGAGGAAGGCCAACCTTACAAACTGGAAACCTCTTAGCTCTGATCTGAAAAAAGCTAAGAAACTGTTTTTAACTCTTAAGAGATTCACGAAAAGGCCATCAGGATGTCCAGGTGGTTGTCACAGGGAGGCCTCTGTCTAATTTTATTCACCCTTTGCTTCTTGGCAGGTGGAGCCCTGTGTCTACAGTTATCATAATGTGAATGGATTGGGTGTCTCCTTCCTGATACACAGGCAGTTTTGAGGATCTTGTGAACATTGTCAGAAACATGGCAAAGACCACCATGGAGGCATAAGGAGCGCTTTGTTGACAGGACACAAGGATACAGCACTTTAGGACACACCGCCTCTGCATCACAAACCCTGGCTTCAAACTCTACTACAGAGTTACAGTACTGAAAACAGCCTGGTTTGGTGTGAAAACAGAAAGAAGGCCAAATGGAACTGAATCGAAGACCTGGATATCAAGCCACACACCTACTAACCCTGATTTTGACAGAAGCAAAAAGTATCAGATGGAAAAAAGAAAGCATAATCAACAAATGGTGCTGGCATGACTGGATATCAACATGCAGAAGAATGAAAAGAGATCCATATCTATTGCCATGCACAAAATTCAAGTCCAAATGGATCAAAGACCACAATGTAAAACCAAAAACACCGAACCTCATAGAAGAGACAGTGCAAAGTACACTTGAACACATTGGCACAGACGATCACTTCCTAAATATAACCACAAGTTAGCGCAGACACTGAGAGAAACACTTAATAAATGGGACCTCCTGAACGTGAGAAGCTTCTGTAAAGCAAAAGACAAAGTCAACAAGACAAAACGGCAGCCTACAGACTGGGAAAAGATCTTCACTAATCCAACATCAGAGAGTGGTCTGATCTCCAAAATATACAAAGAACTCAAGAAATTAGTCATAAAAAGAACAAATAATTCAATTAAAAAAATGGAGTATAGACCTAAACAGAGAACTCTCAACAGAGAAATCTAAAATGGCTGAAAGACACTTAAGGAAATGTTCAACATCCTTAGCCATCAGAGAAATGCAAATCTAAACAACTCTGAGATTCCATCTTTCACCAGTAAGAATGGCCAAGATCAAAAACACTGATGACAACTTATGCTGGAGAGGTTATGGGGAAAAGGGAACACTTCTGCATTGCTGGGGGGAATGTAAGCTGGTACAACCCCTTTAGATGTCACTGTAGTTATTTCTCAGAAAATTTGGAAATAACCTTCCTCAAGACCCAGTAATACCACTTTGGGTATATATTAAAAGGATGCTCAATTGTACCACAAGAACATATGCTCAACTATGTTCATAGCAGCTTTGTTTGTCATAGCCTGAACCTGGAAACAACCTACATGATTCTTGACCAAAAATGGATAAGAAAAATGTCATAAATTTACACAATGGAGTACTACACAGCAAAAAAATATAATGACATCTTGAAATTTGTAGGCAAAGGCATAGATCTAGAAAACATATTGAGTGAGGTAACCCAGACCCGGAAAGACAATTATCATATGAACTCACTCATAAATGGCTTTTAGACATAAAGCAAATAAAAACTAGCCTACAATTCACAGTCATAGAGAACTTGGACAACACTGAGGACCCTAAGAGAGACACACAGTTGTAACCTACACAGGAAGTAGAAAAATACAAGATCTCCTGGGTAAATTGGGAGCATGGGAACCATGAGAGAGAGTAGAAGTGCAGGGGAGGGGAAGGGAGGTAAGCAGAAGAAAATATATAGCTCAATAAAATCAATGAAAGCATTTAAAGGATAAAAAATGGATAAATGCCTGTGATTAGTTTTGTAGTGAGTTAGGGGCGGGGAGAGGATGGTGGCTACAGCCACTTGAGTCTTGTGGACAGGTGTGAGGCTGCAGAATTGACCAGGAAGTCCTGACTCAGAACCTGGGCCCTTCTTCCTTCAGTTCCAAGAATGCTGAGAAATGCCAACAACTATGAGATAGTCACAGACCCTCAGGTTAGGTGAGCTACTTGTCACATGATGATCTCTTTCCTTTATCCACCCTTTGTTTCTCCTCATGCCAGATGTCTGTGGTTAGTATGGGCCCCATGTGGAAAATGGAAATATGACTCTGAGCCTTCTGACAAATGGCACACTGTATGTGCCAAATCATGACTCAGTAGGTGGAGTCCCTGTCCTTGCTGGGGATCCAGAGTTGTGAAGGTCAAAGACTCAGAAGTCCCAGTGCAATTCAAAGACTCAGAAGTCCCAGTGCAATCCAGACAGTGATCTCTGCTGCCCCTCTAGTGTGGCAGAAGGGAGACAGGAGCTGAGTTAGAGGAGATGAGCCGAGTTCACACCATGTAGCCCTCAATAAGGACTGGACACTGGGTCATCTTCTCTCTGCTGCTCCTGCCACCCCGTTCTCTGCCCACATCTGTGTCACCAGGGCCTGTGAAGAACTCCATGCTTATTGACATCCTGAAGACCCAAGTCTGCTCCCTGTTCCTCTCCATGACTCCTGGCCATGCAAAACTCAATTACACAGGATGGCATTTTAGGTTGGACCACAGACAAGGGTCTTTGTCCAGCTCCAACTTGGCCTGAATGGAGCCCTGAATGGGAGTCAGGATAGGAGCCTGGGTCACGGTCAGAGGGGAGGGACAGAGACAACTGTGTTCTGGTCACTCATAGGCTCAAGCTGGTGGCTTCCTCCTGGTTTGCTCCAAGACCCTCCCAGACTTCATGGCTAGGCCTAGATGATAGTTGTCACACGTTCTGCCTCTCCTCGGGTCTCCACATCTCTTCTGTGTGTCACATATGATGACGTGAAAGAGAAACCATGGTGCTGACTGGGTCTGATCTTCCTACTTCAGGCTGAGTGAGGCCCTGGGAGGTTAGTGCACTGAGCAGGCGAGGGGTGTCACACACTGTATGTTGTACAGGTTCCTGGTCTGTCACCAGCTCATGGGAGATGACCTGGATGCTCTGGTAACATCTGCCTGCCAGCACTGTTTGCTTCCCTTCATCCTCAGTTCATGGTCCCTCAGCCACGTGAGCACTAGTGTCCTGTAAGGTCAGTGTGACTTCCGGGGACTGGGGTCTTGGAATCCATGTCAGCTGCAAAGATGTGCCATGTCTACGACAGGAAGGTGGAACTGAGTTATGAGTTCTCATTGGCCAGCAATGTTCCTAGTTTAACAATTCTCTGTTCACATGTCAACAGATAGTTAATCACTGTCCTTTGGACTCTACTGGAAGAAAACAATGGAACCTGGGCACATCTGTCATGGACTGACCTGTGTGCCCTTCCCTTTGCTGGCTTCAACTGCCTGGGTTAACTGAAGTGAAGACCAACAGTGACACCTAGAGCCACTCCTAGCTCTGTGCTTTCTTTCCCTAGGCATGGTTGGAAGTGCAAGCCATTCAGCTTAGTAAGAGTGATGTGACTCACTGGGGTCATTGTGACTCAGACTGTTGACTTGGGAATACTCATTTGGGCAAAGCACGGCCTGGGTTTGTTTGGTGTTGGTGAAACTCCCATACCTGAATGGTTACGTCACCCCTCTTGGTATGACAGGATGGTAGCTATGGAAACAGAAACCACAAAACTTATGCTTGAGATGACATATGTAAAATACTGAAAATCAGCCTCACATATAATTCCTGGATACCGTCACTACTCACATATTTTTGGAAGTTGCTTATTGATACTTCTTGTTTATTCAGCTGATATTGTTTCCTTCTTGGGTCTCTGAGGAAGTTGAAGACTAGATAGGTATAGTTTTCCTTGTTTCCTTGCAGAAAGCAAGTTATGATAAAGTAT